ACAAACATTTGTGAGGATGGTTTAAGGGTGGAGACTTGTCTAGAATCAAATGTCATATGATCTGTAGCACCAGAATCAATTATCCATGTACTATTAGAAACAGGTGTAGACATATTTAAAATCTTACCGCCATTACTTTCAACTGCTGCCAATGCCGAGACCTTTTCAACAACTTCATCCTCTGCCTTTGTTTTAGCAATCACAAGTGTAGAGGTCTTTTAAGGATTCCTCTTATGTGGATCATGGTTGTGATCCCACCATTCTAGATACCCCACAAGTTCATAGCATCGACTTTTCGTATGACCAATTTGATCACAATGAGTACATTTGTAGGTGGATTTGTCGGCACCACTATTTGTCTCGTGATGGCTGGACTTTATTCGGTCATGCTGGTGTTGAGGAGGCTGGTTTCGAGCCACCGTGATTGAAGCTTCATATTTTTCAATGTCCATTCATTGTTGTGCGATGAACAAATTCACGGCAGATAAGTGTATAACATTCTCCTAACTCCGGAACAAGTTCCTTTCTCAAAATTTTACCATGGATCTGTTCAAATTCACCATCTAATCCTGCATGAAAAATTTGCACCCATTGTCGCTGAACATATTTTCGGTAAGATTCAACATATTTCTCACTCTCCATAACCACTTTATCACGATGATCCAATTCACCAAAAATCTCGGTTACTTCTCCATAATACACAGAGAATGCTCTGCCATTCTGTTTGGCAGAAAAAACTTTTTGATTTAAGGCAAAAACTTGTAACTCATCCGCTCCATCATAGAAACCTTTGGAAAGAGCTTTCCAAATATCACACACAATGGATAAGCGAATGTATCACTTCATAATTTCTGGGGATATAGACATCAATAGTCATCGATTGACCTTTTGATTGTTTGCATACCATTTTTCATATTCATCATCCTTCTCGGTAGGTAGTTGTGAGTTTCCACGAATAAAGGAGAGTTTCTCTTTCTCGGTAATATGCATCTCCATGAGTTGAAACCAAACATCATAATTTGTCTCATTGAGTATAATACTTGCGTTGAAGGATGAACCTTCAAATTGAATAATAATAGGAACAGATTTGTTCCTAGATGCTTCAGAATCTAACTTGCTCATGGTGACATGAGCAGGTGGAACAAATGCTGATTGGGCCATGAAACAATTTTTTTTCCCGGTGTGGCGTTAATGGAGGACATGATCAGAAAAGGGGGATAGAGGTCAAAGAGATAGGGGTCCTTTTGGAACCTCGCTCTGATATCAAGTTGAAAAACAGAGTTTGAAAAGAATATTTCATAGTACAATGAAATATTTGGCATTGGGATAGATCCTAGATAATCATGATAGATCTTAATTGAGTGGAATAGAAAAAAAACAATTGGCATTGGGATAGATCATAAATAATCATGATAGATCTTAATTGAGTGGAATCGCCAAAAAAAAAAAATACTAATAATTTGGCTTTGATATCGATCTTAATTAATCATGATAGATCCTAATTGAGTTGAATAGCAAAAAAAACCAAAATTGGCATTGGGATCGATCTTAATTAATCATGATCGATCATGACTATTAAATGTAAGGTTACTACTTTGAAAGGGAGATTACAACAATTAAAAGTAAAATTATTATCTTTAAAAGTAAGGTTATAACTTATTTAATGTTACGTTACTACCTTTGATTGTGAAGTTATAACTATTTAAGGTTAAGTTACAAATAATAAAAGTAAAATTACCACTTAGATGTGAGATGAGGTTACCACATTTTAAGGTGAATTTACCACCGTTTTTCACCGCCGTTACCACATCTTAAAATGGATTTACAACCGTTTTTCAGCCGTTGTTTTTTTATTCACCATGGCCCACCACAAACCAGGTGGTACGATACTGAAAAACCACTATTCTGTACCATAGACTTTCTCATGTATCAATGAATTCGTATAGTACATAGAGAGAAGGGTCAAAGGTATAGATCCTATGATCATCATATAATCAAGCTATTGTTGCTATAATCAAGCTATTGTTTCTAGAATTAAGCTACACGTATAATGAATATGTCCACACCTACTGCACAGCTACATTGTCTCTAGAATAGGAAAGAATTTCAAAAGTAATTACAAAGATAGT